GGGGCAGCCCCACCTCAAAATCCGCCATTGAGTTTCCATAGGGTTTGAGGTCTAAAAGGGAAGCGTGTTCAGTGGCCTTATTATGAAAGAGAAAAATATTACAGTTCAAACTTCAACAAAAATTATATTTAGCTATGGGTTGAACATCAGGCCTTTGTTTGCGAATCTTTTGCCATTTCTAAACGAGATAGACAATCTTTGAGTGATGTTAGTAATTTTGACGGATACAGTAGTCAGCTTCCTGTAATAGTCAGTCGTCTCTAATTTGAGAACGGTTATCTGCGACTTGGCTCAAAGATCCCTTTGAGGATATCGCTAACTGACTGAACACATTATCCCACAGGATTCCCATCAACTACCTACTGGTAAACCTGGCAGCAGCAGACATCTGCTACGCCACATTCATAATGCCGACGATAATCTTGAGCCACAATGTCGGCCATCCAACGGGGATTGTTGGAACATTTCTGTGTGCAAGTATTACTGGGGGAAGTTTCGCGTGGATTGGAGGACTTGCCTCAATGTTTACACTGCTTGTTATTGCGTTTGAACGATACTTTGCCGTAATACATCCCTATGGAAACAGAGGAAAGCTAACTTTTCAGGAATTGAAGGTTTGATACTTTGAAATACTATTTTATGCGTAACACCGCCCTCGATTAAACACCGCAGATGGAAGCAAAACTACCAATAAACGGCGCCCTCGAATAAACGCCGCACCTCATCAGAAGAATGAGGCGTTTACTCGAGGAAGAGAAAAGTCGGTACAACTTGGCAATTTACACCATCCACACATTTACAATTCTACCTCAGCAAAATAAGACAGACATTGAAACCTTTCAATTGAATAGTATATTTACAAACGATTTACAATAACTGTTTTCATTCATTTTAAAAAAGTGATTTTGAAATAAACGCCACACTCGAATAAACGCCGCATCGGAAACGCTAAAAATTTACTAAACGCCGCGGCGTTTAGTCGAATAAATACGGTATTCGCAAATTCTCCTCCGGTACAAACTTAGATGAGTTTCCACGGCGACAGCTCTCTCTTCCCAATCAAAATAGCAATAATCGAAAAAGAGCAGGCGCGCAGTGAACGATGGGAAGACAGAAAAGGAGGAAAGCCCAAGGAAAGCCTCGCTTCCCCTCTTTCCCTTCCCATCCTCCGCCGCGCGCTTTCATTTTCCCTCGCTCCATCCTCCCTACGACACAAAGAGGAGGAGAAAAGAGCGACGACAAAACCAGCTTCTTGGTTGATCTATGATTCATCTCTTTCTTAATTCTTTTATGTCTCTTTAGGTGATTATTCCTGGAATCTGGATCCTTGCAATAATGGATAAAATTCCATTATTCATGAAGCGGAGCCGCTTTGTTGAGGAGGATAGTTCCATCCCTTGCATTTTCTTGTTGTCCAAAGAAAGCATAAGAAAATACCGCACGGTTTATCTCTCAATCGATTGTCTTGTCATGACCCTGCTGGTCTTGATCTACTCCAGAATTGTGTACACATTGTGGTTCAAGCAAAGCGATAATGCCGTACTCACAAATCAGCAACAGGTAAGACCTTTTGCTTGATGTAAGTGAATCTAAGACAGTCTTGGATTCTGGATTCCAGGTACTGAATTCCAGATTCCTTGAGCTGTAATGACTCCAAAGCCCAGGTAACCAAATTCCACAAGCAAAAATTTCCTGGATTTTAGATCTGGATTCCTTTACATAGGGCCAAAACCCTTATCACGACAAATTATTCGTCTGAGGGCTACTCAACATAGTTTCATATGGGGAGGCTCCGTGAAGGTTCAGCCCTTTACCCTTTGACAGAAGAGGCACCCCTTTCGCATTCCCTCCATTGAAAAATATAACCCCTCTAAAATAGCCACTAAGTAAGAACAAATTACTAAAACTGGCCTATTTTATTCCATGGCGGTTTTGACTAGATAGTTCTGGGACCAACAAATAAAATGTAAAGTCAGACGCGCCTGTTAACGTCTGGTGCTAAAATAAAGAGTTTAAGTTGGCTGAAGGTCGGACGTCAAGCCGTTATGTTCGACGTTACGATTTATGCAACCAAGCGCCCTCAGTTATTAGCTCGATTTTTTGGAAAATTGACGGTTTCTACCCATCCCTAAGTTATTAATAGCCCACGTTCAATATATTATAAAATTCTGACATGACCCCGAGGCTATAGGCTCAAAATTGCAATTTTTCACGACTCTATTGTCTCGCAATTCCTAGAAGAGAAATGAACACAAAGAAAACCAAACCAAGTACAGAGAAATGACCAGAAAGCATCGGTTTTAATATATCGAACGTTGGGCTTTTAATTCTTTGGATCTCAGATACAGTTTTTTTCTCAACTAACTCGTGAGTTGGGAATGGTTTGTTATTGTGTTGGTGTTTGGGTTGGGTAAATAGGCCTAGTAAGGGAAATGGGGAAGCCGGTCGTTTCGATACAAACTCGAGCAGTGAAATTGCACAAAAATTTTGTCCACTTCACTGCATGCTTATATCAAAGATCAGCTATATCAGTAGCCTGAAAAAGCTCCAGTCTTTCAGAACCTCTGATTTAACCCCATGGGTCGCAGTTCTCGTCTCTTGTTTACGCAACAGTTTCCATTGCTAACTTTGTTTATTCATTGTTTTCATTATCAAAAAATCGTGAGGTCTTCCGAGAGCTGTAAGGTCGCACAGCTATATTTTAAGCTTGGGCGACCTGTAGCTTATCAATCGTTTTGTACACAGGGTGTATTGAGGTTGAGGAAGAGAGTGACCTTGATGGTTGTAACCGTTAGCGCCATTCTTGTAATCTCTTGGGGAGCAGATGTGATACTCCATATGTTAGAAGAACATGCTGCTGGCTCCGTGAAACTGAGTCCTTTAGCTATTCCTATCGCGCACACGATGCTGATGTTCAACTCTGCTATAAATCCCTTTGCATACGCTCTGCTGAACCAAAGATTCAGGAAAAAGATGAGGCAGATGATACGATCACGTTTCTTTGCAACAAGGGTTGGTGCTATGTCCGTGCGACGGGGTGAACCACAGGATAACGACACTGGTCACACCACTGGCAGCATTCCGATGACACAGCAAGACCAACTGAGTGAAAGGGCGGGGATAATTTCCCAGGAAAATGTGTATCGAAAGTAACAAGCATCCCTGCATTACCTTTGGCCTCGTTTTCAAAGCGAGTTCTGGTGCTTATCATTTCATGTGAAAAGAAGTTTTATTCACTCACAAATTAAACTCATTTTCATGCGGAAAGGTTTGTACTCGCTTTGATAAAAAGGCTAAGGGCAATTCGAAAATGGGTTTTGACACCGCTGTTGTGGTCATCCTGCCCTTATAAATGTAAAAAGAAATTGTCTTCTTACGAGAACATTCAACTCCCATAGGATTGCCTTGAAACACCAACATAATACTAGGTAGCTTATAGCAACGAAGACGGCGATGGCAAGTGGAGCGTCAAAAAAGCAATGGCTTTTGAAAGCAAAACGGTAGATATCTTTGCCGTCAATGCACAACTACGACGTAAAATACCCGTATACGACGTTTCATGGAGGACTTAAACGCGCGACGACGAATTTTCTCTTTCTCCTGATTTTATACTTGGGTGCCGTCCCAGAGAATTCACCTAGATTTGAGATTTAATTTCCAGTACGCTGTCATAAATGCGAAAAAGTTGATAAAACGCTGCCGTCGTGGCCGACATGACGTCACGCCGGTAAGCATTCTGTATGAAAACCATATAAACTTCTAAAGAAACTGTGATGCTACATAGGTAAGGAGAGGGGAGGGGTGGGGAAGCGAAACACAAGAAACTGTTTTATCAATTGCCTTACGACCTTAATACTGGCTTAGAGCGTCAGCCCTTGTTTGTGAGTAGCCCTATATCTAAGGACAACAGGGTAACTTTTTCTTGTCTTTATAATTATGCATTACAGCACCCGAGACTTAAGGTTATTAAAAAACAAACAACAAACCAAGAAACAAACGATCGTCTTCATTGAATAACATCAACTAATGTGAAATGAAAACAAAAACAAAAAAACAGCTTTTCGAAACTGTCACCTGCAAGATGGGATTGTGTCATAGTGTAAATTTGTTTTGTCTTTTGTATACTATTTCAAATAATATAGGTATATATGTTTATATATCATACGTATTTGTACATAGTAGACAATTGAATTGTGCAAAGCTGATTGTCCTACGTGAAAATTAACCACTTCAAGACATCAGTACGACACCGAAAGAACCCAAAACAGAGTAGAGTCGTAGCCGTAGACAGCTATACCGTAAAATTCCGAAAATAAAACAACGCAAAAATGGTAAATTTACTTCCAACTATAAGGCTAGCCCAATCAACTTTGAAACGCAAATTTCCCTCCACAGATAAGCCCATCCGAATATAAGCCCCTCCAGAAATAAGCCTCTCAAAAAGGGATTTTAAAAAATATAAGCCCCAGGGATTATTTTCGGAATTTTACGGTATTTTTGCTGATCAGGTCTCCTTAGATCCTACTTCCTACGGCATATTCGTTTGTGGTCCTTTGCAGTTCATGTCTATGTAGACCTATGTATTTAGATAGAAACCTTTATTTCAATAGGGTAACTCCTTCAGGTTTTGTACAAGATAAAAACTGCTATCCATAGAGGCCCTATATGATAAACTAAATTGAATAGCAATAAAATCGATAATTAACTACAAATAAAAATAGCTATAAAATGTTATTATTATAAAAAGACTAAAATATTAAATTACTAGAAAAAAACATAAACATCTAAAAATCTGAATCTGATTAAAAATTAGACAACCATGATGAAAAGTCTTCTTTCGTACATTCTAACCTATAGATGGGAGTCTAAGTTTACCACTGCTCCTTGTTCTTGTACATAACAGAATACTCGACAGGTGACCAGTCAAAAATAGAACAAGCTACCTGCGGGTCCGTGTATTTCAGTAAAGGGGAAAATCAAGGAAAAATAAAGATTTTTCCTGTTGTTTCCTCTATTGTACCGTTGTCGTTTCGAGTCAAAATTGCCCTTGCACCAAAAAATACCGTCTTTGTCTGCTCATTTGCATTAACTATAAATTTTGCCGTCTTTGCCATAAGAATAGAGCGGTTTTCCCTTGACTGTCGTAAAACCAAAACCAAAGTAAATACACTAGCCAACCAAAGGGCGTAGTAAAACCAAAACCAAAACCAAAACCAATCCCTTTCGACAGTCAAGTGAAAACCGCTCTAATCTAAAATGCTAAGGGACGAGCAATATGGAGGTTACTTAGCAAAAAAGCGAGCTCACAGGACTGGAATACCGTCTTGTCTAAGGTAATTTTTTTTCTTCACAGGTTTTTGGTTTTATCCTTGTGTTGCTTACGAGATTAAGCTTAGCCGGATTATTACGGCAGCCACTGTTTTCCACTGCAAGAGTCTTTTTCACCTTGGACAACATGATATGATTAGAAATTGTTTTCTGGAAGATGCTAATTACTAAACTGCTCCTTTAATTTAGGTTGATTGCTTGAAGCCAAAACAACGAAGGCTTCATTCTTAGAGATTTGCACCATCTGTGTTTCCTCCACAAAAGTTTGAACAGCGTGAAATTTGCGAACAACCAGTTCAATGCGAGACGTTCTTACATTCCCTGGATCTTATTGCGCACCCTTGATTACGAAAATTGCCCTCAAAGATAAAGAAATTCCCTCGCTCTCTTCTGATCAGCATGAAGTCATTTGGCCTTGTTTTTTTTTTTCTTGAAGCCGGTTTGTGTATGTGCCGGTGAACAAAGGAACTCGAAATCTATTCCCGTATCTCAGAGATAATTTTGAAAAAAAAAAAAAGAAAAAGCACACCCATCGTGAGTTCCTCTTTTGTCCTTCATTTTTACAGTGTCCGTTGCGTCGTAGATTCTAGTTAGATGCAAGCGAGTATACCGTAGGTCTTTTTTTTTCGTTACTTCAACATATGGAATATCACCTGCTTCTAAGCTTTTAATTTCCTATTTTTGACCACCCATTGTCGTTAATACATTTTTCCATTTCCAAATAATTTTGACGGAAAGCTTCCGCGGTAAGATCGCACCGCCGGGTAACTTCATAAAAATTTACCAAACTAAGCCATGAAGAAACTACTCTGTCGTAAAATCACAACTGAGGCAAAGGTTTGTGAGGGTTTATACAATTAAGTGGCGCTGACAACGTAACAACTTTAAACGGTTAAGGGGAATTACAAAAGATTTACAGCTACCTCGGCTGTATAAGACCGGCCATATAACCTTCGCTATCTGCTCTTGCCTTATAGTCGTATGTCTATACACTTTACCGTGTAGCTCTTTAATACGCCGGCACGAAAATCATTTCGGATAGCGGCTTGCTCACTTAAAAGAACGGAAATTTTGATACAACGCGACTTCTGTAACAAATTAATGCGAAGATACGCCGCGCCGATCTTGAAAGTAGGGGTATAGACTGGTACATCGAAAAACTGACGTGGGTGTCAGAAAATTTTGGCCCGATCTCGAAATCTCAGAAGCGTTTTGCATGGGTCTCGAAGTCTCGGAGTCTCGAGTCTGTCGTTACGTTTTTTCTTTCCGTTTGGTCTTCAGGAGTCGATCGGAATTTTTCAGAGTTCGTGGCAACAGCTTAATAGGTTATCGAACTAAGCTGTTAGATTAAGATGATAGTTAAGCAAGAGAAAGCAGAAAATTGGTGAGCTTTCGCTAACTTTCATTGACGTCTTCGGTCATTTTAGTCAGCTTTACTGATTTGCACCATTGTAAATCTTGGGCGCTTAGAGTTTCGGGGCTCGAAATTTTTTAGAAGTAAAGTCTCGGGCTCGGATTTGATAAAAACGCTTAAGTCTCGGGCTCTAATTACCATTCTTTTTCCCCGAAGGTAGATTGTCACATATTGGATAGGTGTTTATATTGCAACGTTAGCTTTTTCATGTCGACATGAATGTCTATCCGGTTCATGTAGTGTACACATTGCATAGACTTAAAATCAGACAACATTAATTAATTGAAGTAGCTGTTTATCGCTGCTATCAGTAAAAAGGGGATCTTCCTTGAAAAGCCGAAAGCGTAAAGGGGCTGCTAAATACCATGATCCAGAAGGAATTATTTGAATTAGATGCCAATGCTGGAGAAAAAATTCTTCCTCAAATTCAGGTAAACGTACTTTTTGAAGGAAAAGGGCACATTAACCAGATTAACTAGTAAACCGTAATTCATTTCCGTCGCTGTACAAGACTGTGAATTAACAAATCAAACAATCGGAAAAAACCGGATACAAATTATGGACCATCTGACTTCATAAGCATGTCTGTATTCGTTTCGGTTTTGGTTACATGATGTGTTACAATAAATAGAAATGGGCGAAAGATAAGCATTTGGTCGCGTACAATTATTGCTCATTTTTACCTCCTGTTCGCTTTACGTTTGGTAATTGTATAAAGAGGAAAAACCCTGTTTGAGCTAATGGCTAATGCAATACCCAATAGCTAACAAAGCGCTACTTAAAATTGTTTTCTCACAGATTACTTGGGTGTAACACGACTTACAGCCTTCAGCCATGTCTGAGGAGTCGGCTGATGTCGCATTAACAATAACAAATTCCATATTAATCATCACCTGCATCGTGGGAAACTTTTTCGTCTGTGCTGTAGTGATGAAAAATCGACAAATGAGGTAAACTTAAACTAGCAGTTGCCAACCTGAATACCTGATCGTATTTATAGCAAAGGCGCATGATGGATTAGTAAAACGCAGAAAGTGATTTTAAGAATATCTCCAGGGGTTGTTGACTTTATGCACGGTTTGACTTCAAAGGTTTATTTTTGAGATCAACCAAAACCAGTTGAATTACTTGAGAACGACTCTTTCTTAAAAATCCCACTGGAGCTTCGCTTTTAGCCTTGGCTAAAACGATATATTACCAGTAATAGCTGACCATATTATTCCACAGGACACCCATCAACTATCTACTTGTCAACCTGGCAGCAGCGGACATCTGTTACGTCACATTTATTACACCAAGTATTATTTTAAGCCACAATGTCGACCATCCAAAGGGGATCCCTGGAACAGTTTTATGCGCAGTTGTAACAGGGGGAGGATTAGCATTTACTGGAGCGGAGGCCTCAATATTTACACTGCTTGTTGTTGCCTTTGAACGATACTTTGCCGTTGTACATCCCTATGGAAACCGCGGAAAGCTAACGTTTCGCAAAGTAAAGGTGTGTTTCTTTGAAATAAGATGTTTATGCAGGAAGAAATTTGTCAACACAAAGTAGCCTTGTTTTTTTTTGTTGTATCCGATGGACATAAGTTACTAAGCGTAACGCTGTCTTTTGAAAGACAGCTAAATAAACAGGCTTGCCTTCGTGGTATACACAAAAAGAGGAGGGGTAGGAGATGAGGGAGAAAAGCGCGACAGGGAAAAGGGAAGGAAACCCTTACACTCTCTCCCCATCTCCCCGACCCCCGCCACCCTTTTTCCTTCCTCCCAATCCCTACCACTTTCGACCCCTGCTACGCAGGCTATAGGCCTTCTTCCTCGCTCGTCTATATATGCTGGCTCGTGGCTGGCACGTGTTGAGGCAAACTGATTGAGAAACAGGTAGACACATCGCGAGCAGATCTGATGGGGAGGGTTGCGGATGGTGTCCTGGTCTCGCCTCTCCATTCTCAGAGACGAACTTTGTATCTGAGACATTTTTTCTTCTCGGCAAAAATAACTGACTTTTAGATGTGTGATTCACGTTTTTAAATATCATTCTAACTCTTTATTTTAGGTGATTATTCCTGGAATTTGGATCCTCGCAGCAATAAACAAAATCCCAGGATTCATGAAACGGAGCCGTTCTGCGAAGGAAAATAGTTCTAACTACTGCATTTCCTTATTAACTGAGGAAGGCGTAAAGGCCCTCTTTACTGTTTACACTTCAATTGATTCTGCTCTGTTGATTTTGCTGGTCTTGTTATACTCCAAGGTGGTGTACACCTTATGGTTCAAGCACAGTGATAATGTACTTACACATCATCAACAGGTATGTGGTAGGTCATAACTAGGTTTAGCTCTGGAATAATACTCAACAATGCATTGTACGGGGAGGCTCCCCCTTGATGTCCGACCCCTTATCCTTTTATATACTATTTTTGACAGCAGAGGTACCCTTTTCGGGCGGAGCCAGTATAGGCAATAGACCTTTTTACCGATACGGCGGCCATATTGAATTAATTGGATGGGATGCCCAGGGGGCGTGAGAACGATCAGATATACTCGCATCAGTATGTACGCGGGCTTTTTGGGCCAATTTTTCTTTTTAAGTTTTCCTAGAAAAAGATTGTTATGGGAAAAAAAGATCGTTGTGCCGTGTTTCGATGTAATAATGATATTCTTGTGATAATCTTTTTCTCGAGAAATATAAAGTGAAGTTCTCTTGTTGCCCTAAAACCGCGCGTAAATACTGAGCGAGTGCCCCCTGGGCATCCCATAATACTCCTTAAATCTAATAAATTCAATATGGCTGCCGTATCGGTAAAAAGGTCTGTTACAGGAAGTACCCCCTGGGGTTTACTCCCTCCCTTACGTATTAAAGTTATAATGGTGTGTATGGCAACAAAGGGTTATGGTATTTTGACCATTATGGTGTTTCGGGTTTCAAATAGTGTTAAGTTTCCTGCTTCATGATCTTACAGTTTGGAGTCTCAGGTTTAAATCTTTTCATTATACAGAACAAGTTATTAGGCTTCAATTCCGGCCATCTTAAGTTGGACCCAAAATTTAAGGTTTCACGGTCATAACAAAGGTAGACAAGATAAAACAATCGGTTTTATAGGTCACTTATATTGTACAATTGAGTAACCTGTGGTTTATGTATTTGTTTTGTATACAGGGTGTGTTGGCGTTAAGGAAGCGGGTCACCTTGATGGTTGTTTCCATCAGTGCTATTCTTGTAATCTCTTGGGGGGGCAGACAGAATATTGCACCTGATACACGAATATGCTGACTCCGTAAAACTGAGTCCTTTAACAACTCCTATCGCGCACACGATAATGAGTTTTAACTCTGCCGTCAATCCCTTTGCTTACGCTTTGCTGAACCAAAGATTCAGGACAAAGATGAAGCAAATGGTATGTCCGTGTTCTTTTGGAACAAGGGTTTATACTGTGAGCGCGCGACAGCGTGAACGACAAGACAACGAGGTGGCAATCAGCACTGGTGACATCCCTATGACAAGTATCAAAACGGTGAAATAAAATCCGTCAACCTTCACTCTTAAGTGTCGATGCTTAAATAGTAAATAAACATTATGGTGCTTTTAGTCTTCCCCTATGAAAACAAGTTTCCTTTGGTTGAAACATGCCCTTTGAACGGCTTTTACTAAGCTCCGACCCAAATTAACGCTGCGTCATTCATTTTATAAAGGTGTTATCGTTTCCTTACTTTGTTTACTGGTTGTAGCTTTTTAAAACTTCTTCCTTATTGCGGACTATCGTCGGGTAAATATCGGTTATAAAAGTCACGTATGAACTCCTCGGGTTTGAAACCAAATTTCTGAAACATTAGCATGGCTGGATTCGTGACTGATACATGGAGTGTCACGTCTTTACCCAAGCTAGTTTGAATTAAGTGATAAATCATGTAGGTTCCAATCCCCGCTCGGCGCCACTCAGGATGGACTAAAACGAATGAGATGTAAGCCTTGTTATATTTCACATCCGGGACTATAAAGCCAGACAAGATAAAAACTGCTATCCATAGGGGCTCTATATGATAAACTGAATTGAATAGAAATAATAGTGACAATCAAGTACAAATAAAAGTACCTATAAAATGTTATACCTTATTATAGGAAATTAACGCTCCATGAAATTAAGGTATTGGAAATTAACGCGACTTAAATTAACGCGAATTTAATGGACAACGACTTTCGAATAAAGAAAATTAACGCGAAAGAGGAGGTAGAATTTCATAATAAAGGAAATTAACGCGATTCTCATATTCTGTAGAGAAAGACTATGTTGACGATTCGAAATCTATCTTGGCCGAAATCAAAGGAGAAGATATTGACCTCACTTTTGACAGCGACAATGATGAACATGAACTCGAAATATTGTAAACCTTCTCCTTAGCTTTTGTGAAAGATGAAAAATAAAGGGTAAATGGGAAGAAAGAAAGCTTGTAGTTAATTTTCTTTAGGTGTCAAGAATGTCTGGACAGGTTCCAAAATTGGGATTAAAATACTGGAAATTAAGAGCGCAGAAATTAACGCTGCACTTAATTAACGTCGCGGAAATTAATGCTCAACAAAATTAACGCTACTTAAATTAACGCGAATTTTAACGATTCGCGTTAATTTCATGGAGCGTTAATTTCCTATGATAAGGTATAAAAGTCTTAATCATAAAACCCTAAAAATCTAAATCTGATTAAAAATTACACTTGTACATAACAGAATACTTGACAGATGATCAAGAATAGAACAAGTTACCTGCAGGTCCGTGTATTTCAGTGAAAAAGGAGAATCAAGGAAAATAAAGATTGATGAAAAGATAAAGATTGTTGTTCCTTCTATTATAACTTTGTCGTTTAGAGCCAAGATTGCCAAAATTGTCGTTTCGAGCCAATAAGTATAAATTTTTACCGTCTATGCCATAAGAATAATCTAAACTGTTAAGGGACGGGCAAGAGGGAGGTTACTCAGCAAAAAGCAAGCTCACAGGGCTAGAGGACCGTCTGTTCTGTCGCACTTTGTAATAAAATTGTCGCACTTTGTAATAACACTTGTCGAACTTTGTAATAAAAAAGCTGTCGCACTTTGTAATAGAATAAGCTGTTGCACTTTGTAATAAACTTGAAATGTATGGTCGGAGGACATGTAAACCCGATAATAAATATCATCATCGACAACAGCAACAACAGTAACAATAATCATATAATATATAAATAATTATAATAATAGCATTCCACTGAACGGTTTTCAGTACCGATTTCCGAAGTGAGGGCGGAGGAAAGTGTTCACATCAACTGCGGCCTTACTGTTTTAAGATCTTTGTAGGAAAGTAAAACTCTTTCTTTGCGGAAAACCTCGAGACTATGAGATAGTGTCCATATAACAGCAAGCGTCCGTAGTGGAGGGATTTTGTATTGGAATTTAGCTGCTATCTGTATTATCGGGTTTTGCCTAAAATTAAGGTGTCCCTGACTGTATAAGCAAAATATTTTGAAAGTTTTACTAGTAACACGGGCAACGAAGAAATCCGGTTTCATTGCCCTCGAGGATAGGATCTGTGATATAACGAGATTTTAGTGTTTAATGCCATGAATAAGCGCTATACTAACAGAACCAAAAGACACAAACATCGAGCACAACACGGTGCCACAATCACTATCATAATCAGACAATCATCATCATCATTATTATATATCGCACTATTTCATATCAAGAGAATGATCTAGCTCATTCTCTCTTGATATCAATTGTCCACCTCATTGTGCTACAACAACTGCTAATTTTGTGGAAATTTCGAATGCGCTAGAACCGACATGAAACAAAATAGATTCATAATAATCAGAAAATGTGACTAAGTGTAACCCAGCTAAGATAAGATAACAAAACGCAAAAAAACGGCAAACAAGAAAAGCAAATCTAAGTACAATGATACTAACAAAAGATCTCAGTCTCGAACGTTTATGCTCAAGTTCCACTCCTATGTAAGTTGTAACAAGGCACTTTTTCGCCTTTTGTTGCCACGCCTTCTTTCTCCCTAGCTAAATAATGAGCTGTCTCTGCCTAGAGCTTTGAGGTATGCTACTTGTTTCGCCAACATATAGCCATGATGATAAGCCATCCAAGACCTACATACCGCATATTCGCCACAATTCAGGCACGACACCACTTGAAGGTCCAAACATTCTTATGAGTATTTTCAGAAAAAGCTTACGTTTCCCGCTACCCCACTACAGGAGAAGTAAATACGCGGCAGATGATCTGAAAAGCCAACCTACGAGTCACGAAAACGAGTATTAACTTGACATCTGTGGGTAGGCCACGAAAAGGTGCCTGGTTCTTCTTTAACAATGAATGACACATCGTTTAAGATAATTCTAATTATCAAAATGTCAACTTCTTGATTTTGTCAGACACCTTAATATTTGAGTATTTTTCGCTTCAAGGGAAAAATTATGGAATTGGATTTTGCCAATGAATTCAAGAATATGACTTCAAAATAACATCAAATTACGTCATTGTGTCAATCAAGTTATGCTTAGATGTTGGAAATAAACAGTACATTATTCTGTGTTATTGTGGTGGCCGTCTTATGAGTGGCCCTTATATCGACTTATATAAATAATAATCATCATAAAACATGTTCAATAATAATAACAATAAACAATTATTATTGTTATTATTATTGTTGTTGTTGTGGTCGATGATGATACTTATTATTGGGTTTACATGTCCTCCAACCATACATTTCAAGTTTATTACAAAGTGCGACAACTGTTATTACAAAGTGCGACAGCTTATTTTATTACAAAGTGCGATGGTCTGTTATTAGCTGTTATTACAAAGTACGACAGCTTTTTTATTACAAAGTGCGATGGTCTGTTATTAGCTGTTATTACAAAGTACGACAGCTTATTTTATTACAAAGTGCGATAGTCTGTTGTTAGCTGTTATTACAAAGTGCGACAGCTTTTTTATTACAAAGTGCGACAACTGTTATTACAAAGTGCAACACTGAACACCGTCTTGTCTAAGGTAAGTTTTTTTTCTTCTCAGGTTTTCGGTTTTATCCTTGTGTTGCGTACTAGATTGGCCGAATTTCTACTAGAGACGAACTATTTGTCGGATAATTCGTCTAAGGATAAATCTGAAGACGAATTTTGACGAAAATTTGTCTACATATTTTACGCGGGTTGCGAAAATATAGAAGCTAGTCCCTCTCATGTAGAAACTTCGTCAACAAAACCGTCTACGTTCCGTCTAGAACGTTTAGAGACGGATCATCCGTCTAAGACGAATTTTCCGTCTGTTAGCACGTCTTCAAGACGTGCTAACAGACGAATCAGCCTCAGACGAATTTTGCTCTATACTTGGACGAATTATCCGTCTCAGAGGGATAATTCGTCGATGACGGATAATTCGTCTCTAGGATAAATTCGGCCAATTAAACTTAGATTATTACGGCAGCCACGTTTTTTCCACTTCAGGAGCCTTTTCACCTTGGACAACACGATATGATTAGAAATCATTTTCTGCAAGATACTATAAATTACAAAACTGCTTCTTGAATTTAATTTGCGGACTTGAAGTCAAAACAACAAACGCTTCATTCTTAGAGATTTGCACCATCTGTGTTTCCTCCACAAAATTTTGAACAGCGTGAAATTTGCGAACAACCAGTTCAACGCGCGACGTTCTTACATTCCATGGATCTTATTGCCCACCCTTGATTACAAAAATTGCCTACAAATAAAGAAATTCCCTCGCTGTCTTCTGATCAGCATGAAGTAATTTGGCCCTGTTTTTTTTTCTTGAAGGTTTGTGTATGTGCCAGTGAACAAAGGAACTCAAAATCTATTCCCGTATCTCTGAGATAATGTTGAAAAAAAAAACAAAACAGAAAATGAAAAAGTACACCAGTCGTGAGTTCCTCTTTTGTCCTTCATTTTTACAGTGTCCGTTCCGTCGTAGATTCTAGTTATGCAAGCGAGTATACTTCAGGTCTTTTTTTCGTTACTTAATATATGACCTGCTTCTAAACTTTCAACTTCCTATTTTTGACTACCCATTGTCGTTAACATGTTTGTCCATTTCCAAATAATTTTGACGGAATTAAAGCTTCCGCGGTAAGATCACACCGCCGGGTAACTTCATAAAAATTTACCTAACTTGGCCATGAAGAAACTACTCTGTCGTAAAATCACAACTGAGGCAAAGGTTTGTGAGGGTTTACACAATTAAGTGGCACTGACAACGTAACTTTGAACGATTAAGGTGAATTACAAAAGATTCACAGCTACCCCGGCCTGACCAGCCATGGCTTCGCTATCTGCTCTTGCCTTGTAGCCGTATGTCTATACACTTTACCGTATAGCTCTTTAATACGCTGGCACGAAAATCATTTCGGATACCGGCTTGTTCACATAAAAGAACGGTGATTTTTCTGTAACAAATTAAGGTGGCTCGACAGGATTTTTTTGGGGGGGATACCTCCCAAGTTTGAGCATTAACTACGTCGCCATGAGTAAAGATATGGGAAAAAAATTACCACAACTGTATCATATAAAGATGAAAATTTCTTATGATGTGGGTTTTATTGCAATCGGAGTCGCCATAGCAACGTAACGACGCCATTACGTTTTTTATTTGTCTTTGTGTTTCTCTGTAGCGGGAGTTTTTTTAAAGAAATCACTTAAGGGAGTTTGTGCCTGCCATAGTTGCCTCAATTACGGCAAATTTTGAACAAATTCTATGAGAGCGTTTTTGAGATATTTTGAAACGAAGTTTTAAGCATCATAAAAACAGTGAAATAGAATGCTATCCACACAATTAGCTAAATTTTTTAGAAAATGATAAGTCATGGAAAACGCGGCTTCATCTCATAGTGGTTTGATTCCATTGAAAACTGCGTACAAAAAAACAGGAGAATTTCTCTGGGCGATCGCGAGTAAGAAGAATTTTAGTAACTTGCATTCAGCTGCTTTTGTTACAGTTTTTGCACGTAATTTGGTTCATGCCTACAAATTTCCCACTTTTCAAAAAACCGCTGGATAGCGTCCTCATTATTCACTGGCATTGTTTCCAAGTTTCATATGCATGTGCATATTTAGCAAAAAGATAGAGTTTGCATCAAAAAGGACCCTCGGTTAAATCTCCCGAATATGCTAATAACCGGGTAAAGAAATCATTATCTTCTTGGTCTTCGGAACTGCTAGATTGCTGCTCATCCGGGTTTTCTTTACCTTGAGCTTCCCCAGCACCTAGAACACGAGCTACAAGTGCTGCTTTCCCTCCGCTGAACCTGTATAATTTTTCGGTCTTTGGGAGGTGAACCCATTGATGACAACTATGAAACAGAAGCATGTGGCATTCCTCAGCTAGAAACTGTAGACCTAGAAACCCTCTTGCTGTTTAAATCAAGAACAGACCTGGCATGTCTGCGAGACCTCTTAAATGCCAAATGTTTTATTGGCAAAGCTCACAACGTGGTTTGTGACTTCTGTGCAGGAACGATTGTTTCAATCTATCATATGTTGACATTCTAAATAAGTTAAAGCATGTGTTTATGTTGATGCAATATTTAGACATTATGGATAGTCAAAGGAGTGGCATCTGTCTATTTGGAAAATGTTTATTTATTCATTATCAAATTTGTGAAATTTAATTAAGACCCCCCTCAACTTACTTGAGAATCTAATGTAGAGGCCCCCCTCCTTTCCATTATTTTAACTTAAGGCCCCCCCTCTGGTTTTAGGGGGCCCCCCTCCTGATAATTATTGCACTGTCCCTTGTAACATCACAGCAACTCTTTGTAAGAGTTTGTTTGTGATGTTAGTAAGAAAACTTAGTATTGGATCCTGCACGATGAGCCATGACGTTCACCGTCTCGGCTCTCACTGCTATCTGTGACACAAGCCAATTATTAGCATATTCCGGATATTTCTTCCGAACGTAATGGAGAGGTCTTTTTGCTAAATGTGCGCGTGCATATGAAACTTGGAAACAATGCCAGTGAATAATGAGGACGTTCGCTTGTAAACACAAAACCTGGGGGAAAAATTGGTTATATTTGGGGCCCTATTTAAAAGCCTTCTCTGTTTTCAATGTTCTTGAAACTTGCAGGGTATATTTATTGGTAATTGATCTCGGGATTGTCAAATTTATAAAAAAAATTTATCGAGCAGTTTTTTGAAAAATGCGAAATTTGTAGGCATGGACCAAATTACGTGCAAAAACTGTAACAAAAGTAGCTGAATGCAAGTTAATAAAATTCTTCTTACTCGCGATCTCCCAGAGCAATTCCCCTCTTTTCTTGTACGCAGTTGTCAATGGAATCAAACAACTATAAGATGAAGCCGCGTTTCCAAAGCTCATCATTTTCTTAAAAAATTAGCCAATTGTGTGGATAGCATGCTACTTCACTGTTTTTATGATGCTTAAAACTTCGTTTCAAAATATCTCGAAAACGCTCTCATAGAATTTGTTCAAACTTTGACATAATTGAGGCAACTATGGCAGGTACAAACTCCCTTAAGCGATTTTTAAAAAAAACTCCCGGTACAGAGAAGCACGAAGATAAATAGAAAACGTAATGGCGACGTTACGTTGCCATGGTGACTCCGATTGCAATAAAACGCAGATCATAAGAAATTTTCATCTTTATATAATACAGTTGTGGTAATCTTTGTCCCATATCTTTACTCATGGCGATGTAGTTAATGCTCAAACTTGGGAAGTATCCTCCAAAACAAATCCAGTCGAGCCACCTTAAAGGCAAGCTGCGCCACGCCGATCTTGAAAGTAGGGGTATAGAATGGTACCTCGAAAAACTAACGTGGGTCTCAGAAAATTTTGGCCCGATCTCGAAATCTCAGAAGCGTTTTGGATGGGTCTCGAAGTCTCGGAGTCTCGAATCTGTCGTTTTTTCTTTAATTTCCGTTTGCTCTTCAGGAGTCGATCGGATTTTTTCAGAGTTCGTGGCAACAGCTTATCGAACTAAGCTATTAGATTAAGATGATAGTTAAGCAAGAGAAAGCAGTAAATTGGTGGCCTTCCGCTAGCTTTCATTGACGTTTTCGGTCAGTCAGCTTTAGTCAGCTTTACTGATTTACACCATCGTAAATTTTTGGCGCTTAGAGTCTCGGGGCTGGAAATTTTATTGAAGTTAAGTCTCCGGCTCGGAATTAATACAAACGCTTAAGTCTCGGTCTCGAATTTTGAAACCAGGGTCTCGCAGTCTCGAATTTACCATTCTTTTCCCCCGAAAGTAGACCGAAATTAGATTGTCACATACTGGATAGGTGTTTATACTGCAACATTAGCTTTATCATGTCGACATGAAATTCTATTCGGTTCATGTAGTGTACACATTGCATAGCCTTAAAATCCGACAACATTAATTAATTGAAGTAGCTGTTTATCGCTGCTATTGATCGATAAAAAGGGGATCCTCCTTGAAAAGCCGAAAGCGTAAAGGGGCTGCTAAATACCATGATCCGAAAGGAATTGTTTGAATTAGATGCCAATGCTGGGGGGAAAATTCATCTTGAAAGTTAGAAGTTAAAAGTTAAAAGTGTTAAAAGTTTGACACTAGTAAACCGTAATTCATTTCCGTCGCTGCACAAGACTGTGAATTAACAAATCAAACAATCGGAAAACACAGGATACAAATTATGGACCATCTGACTTCATAAGCATGTCTGTATTCCTTTAGGTTTTGATTACCGACATGCTGTGTTACAATATATAGAAATGGGCGAAAGATAAGCATTTGCCGCGTACAATTATTGCACATTTTTACCTCCCGTTCGCTTTACGTTTGGTAATTGTATACAGAGGGAAAACCCTGTTTGAGCTGAAAAGAAACCCCGGTATAGATTTCTTGTGTGGTGATTTGTGAAATAAATGGCTAATGTAATACCCAATAGCTAACAAAGCACCAATCAAAATTGTTTTCACACAGATTACTTGGGTGTAAACACGACTTACAGCCTTCAGCAATGTCTGAGGAGTTGGCTGATGTCGCATTAACAGCAATAAATTCCATATTAATTATCATCTGCATCGTGGGAAATTGTTTCGTCTGTGCTGTAGTGATGAAAAATCGACAAATGAGGTAAATTTAAAGTAGCAGTTGTTAAGCTAAATACCTGATCGTATTTATAGCAAAGGTGCATGATGGATTAGTAAACTGACGCAGAAAGTGATTTTAAGAATATCTTCAGGGGTTGTTGATTTTATACACGGTTTGACTTCAACAAGGTTTATTTTTGAGATCAACCAAAACCATTTGAATTACTTGAGAACGACTCTTTCTTAAAAATCCCACTGGAGCTTCGCTTTTAGCCTTGGCTAAAACGATATATTACCAATAATAGCTGACCATATTATTCCACAGGACACCCATCAACTATCTACTTGTCAACCTGGCAGCAGCGGACATCTCTTACGTAACATTTATTACACCAAGTATTATTTTAAGCTACAATGTCGACCATCCAAAGGGGATCGCTGGCACAGTTTTATGCGCAGTTGTAACAGGGGGAGGATTAGCATTTACTGGAGCGGAGGCCTCAATATTTACACTGCTTGTTGTTGCCTTTGAACGATACTTTGCCGTTGTACATCCCTATGGAAACCGCAGAAAGCTAACGTTTCGCAAAGTGAAGGTGCGTTTCTTTGAAATAAAATGTTATATATGTAGAAATTTGTCAACACAAAGTAGCCTTGTTTTTAATTTGTTGTATCCGGTGGACATAAGTTACTATGCGCAACAGCCAGCCCAGTAAACAGAATAGCCATCGTGGTTTGCGCAAAAAGGGGAGGGTTTGGAGATGAGGGAGAAAAGCGCGACAGGAAAAAGGGAAGGGATCCCTTACTGTCTCTCCCCAACCCTCCATTCCCTTTTCCCCTCCTCCCAATCCTCAACCACTTTCGACGCCTGCTACGCAGGCTATAAACAGGCCTTCTTCCTCGCAACGGAGCCGTTTTGCGAAGGAAAATAGTTCTAACTACTGCATTTCCTTATTAACTGAGGAAGGCGGAAAGGCCTACTTTACTGTTTACACTTCAATTGATTCTGCTCTGTTGATTTTGCTGGTCTTGTTATACTCCAAGGTGGTGTACACGTTATGGTTCAAGCACAGTGATAATGTACCTACACATCAACAACAGGTAGGCCATAACTTGGTTTAGCCCCGGAAAGTGGGATAGTCAACAAAGTATTACATGGGGAGGTTCTCCCTTGATGTCCGACCCCTTATCCTTTTATATACCATTTTTGACAGGAGAGTTACCCTTTTCGGGCGGAGCCTCGCATATAGGCCATTACAGGAAGTACCCCCCGGGGATTTAGCTGGCCTTTAACTCGGGTTTACCTCCTCCCTTACATATTAAAGTTATAATGGTGTGTATGGCAACAAAAGGTTATGGTATTTTGACCATTATGGTGTTTTAGGTCTCAAATAGTGTAAGGTTTCCTGTTCCTGATCTTACAGTTTGGACTCTAAGGTTTAATTTTTTCTATCATACAGAACATCTTAGTAGGCTTCAATCGCGGCTACCTCAAATTGGACCCAAAATTTAAGGTTCCAAGGTCATCAAAGAGAGACAAGACGAAACAATGGGTACTATAGATCACTCATATTGAACACTCGGGTAACCTGTGGTTTATGGATTTGTTTTGTACACAGGGTGTGTTGAGGTTAAGGAAGCGGGTCACCTTGATGGTTGTTTCCATCAGTACCATTCTTGTAATCTCGTGGGGAACAGATGGAATATTGCACCTGATAGAAGAATATGCTAGCTCCGTGAAACTGAGTCCTTTAACGACTCCTATCGCGCACACGATAATAGTATTTAACTCTGCCGTCAATCCCTTTGCTTACGCTTTGCTGAACCAAAGATTCAGGACGAAGATGAAGCAAATGGTATGTCCGCGTTCTTTTGCAACAAGGGTTCATTCTGTGTGCGCACGATAGCGTGAACGACACGACAACGAGGTGGCAATCAACACTGGTAACATCCCTATGACACAGAAAACCAACTGAGTGACAGGTTGAAGACAATTCCCCGGAAAAACGTGTGTGTCTATAGTAATGTCACCCTACGACAGAACCCTGTGTCGTGTAATCAGGTTTTCGTCTTTTTTTTTGTTCATCGCATCTTCCTTTCTGTTATCGCTAAGTAGGCAAAGAGAATCCATATAAAAAAGGTTATGGTCGGCGCAAGTCCCTGCTACTCTTGCTTGTTTCGGCTGTATAGTTAGTTCTCGTAGCGAAAATCGTCCAGCATGATGTCATACTAAGAAGAGGTAATTAAGTTTCGGACTTAGCGATCGACCCCGACTGTGACGACTGTTGGAAGTGGTCGAGCAAAGGAAGTACCGAAAGTATCAAAACAGTGAAATAAATCCGTCAACCTTCACTCTTTAGTGTCAATGCTTAAATATTAAATAAATATTATCGTGCTTTTAGTCTTCCCCGATGAAAACAAGTTTCCTTTGGTAAAACATGCCGTTTGAACGGCTTTTATTAAGATTCCCCCCAAATTAACGCCGCGTCGTTCATTTGAAAACCGTTCAGTGGAATGTTATTATTATAATTATTTATATATTATAAGATTATTGTTACTGTTGTTGTTGTGGTCGATGATGATACTTATTATTGGGTTTACATGTCCTGCGACAACTGTTATTACAAAGTGCGCAGCTTTTTTATTACAAAGTGCGACTAGTGTTATTACAAAGTGCGATATAGGTATTACAAAGTGCGACAGAACACCGTCTTGTCTAAGGTATTTTTTTTTCTTCTCAGGTTTTATCCTTGTGTTGCGTACGAGATTGGCCGAATTTATACTAGAGACGAACTATTTGTCTAGACGGATAATTCGTCTAGAATTTGACGAAAATTTGTGTAGATATTTTACGCGGGTTGCGAAAATATAGAAACCAGTCCCTCTCATGTAGAAAATTCGTCAAAAAAACCGTCTACGTTCCGTCTAGATATAAATTTAGAGACGGATCATCCGTCTAAGACGAATTTTCCGTCTGTTAGCACGTCTTCAAGACGTGCTAACAGACGAATCAGACTCAGACGAATTTTGCTCCATGATTCGTCTAAGCACCGAATTTATACTTGGACGAATTATTCGTCTCAGACGGATAATTCGTCTCTAGGATAAGTTCGGCCAATGAAGATTAGATTATTACGGCAGACACTTTTTTCCCACTTCAAGAGCCTTTTTCACCTTGGACAACACGATATAATTAGAAATCATTTTCTGCAAGATGCTATAAATTACAAAACTGCTTCTTTAATTTAATTTGCGTACTTGAACTCAAAACAACGAACGCTTCATTCTTAGAGATTTGCACCATCTGTGTTTCCCCCACAAAAGTTTGAACAGCGTGAAATTTGCGAACAACCAGTTCAACGCGAGACGTTCATACATATATTCCCTGGATCTTATTGCGCACCCTTGATTACGAAAATTGCCCAAAGATAAAGAAATACCCTGGCCGTCTTCTAATCAGCATGAAGTCATTTCTCCCTGTTTTTTTTTCTCTTGAAGGTTTGAGTACGTGCCGCTGAACAAACGAACTCAAAATCTATTCCCGTATCTCTGAGATAATTTTGGAAAAAAAAGAAAACGTTTATCTCCTGAGTTCCTCTTTTGTCCTTCATTGTTACAGTGTCGTAGCGTAGATTTAGATGCAAGCGAGTATACTTTAGGTCTTATTTTCGTTACTTCACCATATTGAACATCACTTGCTTCTAAGCTTTTAACTTCCTATTTTTGACCACCCATTGTCGTTAATATATTTTTCCATTTCCAAATAATTTTGACGGAGAGCTTCCGCGGTAAGATCGCACCGCCAGGCAACTTCATAAAAATTTACCAAACTTAGTCATGAAGAAACTGCTCTGTGGTAAAATCGCAACTGAGGTAAAGGTTTGTGAGGGTTTATACAATTAAGTGGCCCTGACATCATAACTTTGAATGGTTAAGGTGAATTACAAAAGATTCACAGCTACCCCGGCCTGACCAGCCATGACTTCGCTATCTGCTCTTGCCTTGTAGCCGTATGTCTATACACTTTACCGTATAGCTCTTTAATTAATACGCCGGCACGAAAATCATTTCGGATAGCGGCTTGTTCCCATAAAAGAACGGTGATTTTTCTGTAACAAATTAAAGCGAAGATACGCCGCGACGATCTTGAAAGTAGGGGTATAGAATGGTACCTCGAAAAACTGACGTGGGTCTCAGAAAATTTTGGCCCGATCTCGAAATCTCAGAAGCGTTTTGGATGAGTCTCGAATCTGTCGTTTGTTCTTTCCGTTTGTTCTTCAGGAGTCGAATTTTTCAAAGTTCGTGGCAACAGCTTATCGAACTGAGCTATAAAATTAAGACAGTAAAGCAAGAGAAAGCAGTATAGTGGTGGGCTTTCGCTAACTTTCATTGACGTTTTTGGTTATTTTAGTTAGCTTTACTGATTTGCACCATTGCAAATTTTTGGCGCTTAGAGTTTCGGGGCTCGGGATCGGAATTGATAAAAACGCTCAAGTCTCGGTGTCGAATTTTGAAACCAGGGTCTCGCAGTCTCGAATGACCATTCTTTTCCCCTGAAAGAAGATTGTCACATATTGGATAGGTGTATATACTGCCACGTTAGCTTTTTCATGTCGACATGAATGTCTTCCGGTTTATGTAGTGTACACATTGCATAGACTGAAAATCCGACAACATTAATTAATTGAAGTAGCTGTTTAAATATCGCTGCTATTAATCAGTAAAAAGAGGATCTTCCTTGAAAAGCCGAAAGCGTAAAGGGGCTGCTAAATACCATGATCCGAAAGGAATTATTTGAATTAGATGCCAATGCTGGGGGAAAAATTCATCTTCAAATTCAGGTAAACGTACTTTTTGAAGGAAAAGGGCTCTTTAAAAGATTAACATTAGTAAACCGTAATTCATTTCCGTCGCTGTACAAAACTGTGAATTAACAAATCAAACAATCGGAAAACACAGGATACAAATTATGGACCATCTGACTATATACGCCAGTCTGTATTCCTTTAGGTTTTAGTTACCGACATGATGTGTTACAATATATAGAAATGGGCGAAAGATCAGAATTTCGTCGCGTACAATAATTGTACATTTTTACCTCCCGTTCGCCTTACGTTTGGTAATTGTATACAGAGGAAAAACCCTGTTTGAGCTGAAAAGAAACCCCGGTATAGATTTCTTGCGTGGTGATTTGTGAAATAAATGGCTAATGGAATACCCAATAGCTAACAAAGCGCTACTTAAAATTGTTTTCACACAGATTACTTGGGCGTAACACGACTTACAGCCTTCAGCCATGTCTGAGGAGTCGGCTGCTGTCGCATTTACAACAGTAACTTCCATATTAATTATCACCTGCATCGTGGGAAACTTTTTCGTCTGTGCTGTAGTGATGAAAAATCGACAAATGAGGTAAATTTAAAGTAGTAGTCGTTAACCTAAATACCTGATCGTATTTTTGGCATAGGTGCTTGATGGATCAGTAAAACGGAGGCAACCCAGAAAGTGAGTTATTTGGGCGAGCGAAGCAAGCCACGCGGGAACGCGCGAGCGAGCGGCGAAGTCGTGAGGGGCCAAGGAAAGGAGAGAGCTCTCCTTTCTCTCCCCCCATCTGCCCTTTTGCGTCTCCTCTCGCGTGCCTCTCGCGCCTCTACTTTCCACGAGATCTCCCAAATGGAGAGCTTACTCACAGACTAAAAGTGAGTTTAAGAATATCTCCAGCGGTCGTTGATTTTATACACGGTTTGACTTCACTGAAGTTTATTTTTGTGATCAACCAAAACCAGTCGAATTAATTGAGAAAGACTGGAGCTTCGCTTTTGGCCTTGGCTGAAACGATATATTACCAGTAATGGCTGGATGACACAACGGTTTTTCTGAGGAACCAAGAATCGATGAACGTGTTGTTGGAGCTTCTGGAAAAGTTTGAAAGGTGTCCAGGGCTTAAAATCAACCCCACGAAGTCAGAAGCTATATGGCTCGGAAAATGGAAAAATAGAGAAGATACCCCTTTCAACTTTAAGTGGCCAAAGGAATCTGTCTTTGTATTAGGGGTACACTTTTCGAACTGCAAAACAACATGTGATAAATTAAATTTTTATGACAAATTAGATGCTTTGGAAAACACACTGAATAACTGGAAGAGACGAAAATTAACTCTACTAGGAAAAATAAATATTGTAAAATCTCTAGGCCTCTCAAAACTTATTTTCATGGCATCTGTTCTTCCAGTCCCTGAAAAATTCTGTGATCAGGTAAACAAGATCACCTTTATCTGGGACAACAAAATAACCAAAATAAAGAGGAACACAATTATTCGCGAACGCGAGAATGGGGGACTGAACATGATTGATTTTTCCTTAATGAACAAAGCCTTAAAATGCATTTGGATAAAGCGCTTTAGACTGAATGAAATATTCAGCGTGGACGGTTATTCCTAATGAAGCCACTTCACACTTGGGAGGTTTTCCCTTCCTCTTTAAGTGCTAATGCAACAGCAAAGATATCAGCATTAAGGAGCTACCACTCTTTTACATAAGAACAGTGCAATACTGGTTTGAGTTTAAGGATATGCAAGATAATACTAAGCCAGGTATAAAAAACACGATCATATGGAAGAACAAGATATGAAAATTGATAATAATACAATCTTCTTCGGAACTTGGTTTAGTAGAGGAGTTTCCACTATAGAATGACTTTCTTGATCATAATCTTGATTTCATTACTGACGAAGAATTTAAAACCCGCTACCAAACAAACATAAATTTTTTGACTTATTACGGAGTAATAAACGCCATTCCAAATGAATATAAAAAATCTATCAAACAAACGAACGCACAACAAGAACAACCTACACACCAAAGTCAGCATTAACATAGCTTTTTCTAACACGAAAGAAACAAAGCTAATTATGTTCCAATACAAGATCTTACACGACATAGTTTTCACTAAGGAAAAATTGTTCAGAGCTAATATCGCCAATAGCGATCTCTGTTATCTTTGCTTGGAAACAAAACAAGATCTGAATCACATGCTAGTCTCGTGTCAATTGGTCTCGGAGTTCTGGAAAGTTTTCCTGTACTGGTACAAATCTCACGTTTCAATAGGGCTAGAACCGGGGGGGGGGTACTGCCATATATGGGCTATATAGGTATGTGCCGCTGTGAAGGGTATGGTTTTCAAGCAGTTTACTCTAGGATAGGGTATATAAATCAGAGCGTTTGGGTCTAGAATAGGGTATCATTTTTCAAGAAACTGATCTGTTGGTTGAAGATTTTATCTAGACTAGGGAAACAGCTACTCTAGGATAGGGGGGATCTGGGGAGTTTACTGTAGTATAGGGTAGCAAAATTTAGCTGAACTAGCTCTGGTATAGGTTAAGGGTTCCAGGGTCCGAGCGGCACATCCCCACCCAGAAATTCCTAAAGTACCCCCCCCCCCCCCCCACCGGGGGCTAGAACTATCAACCATCAATATCTTGTATAGTATTACTGGTAGCAACCACCTAAATAAGTTAACTAATCAGCTCTTCAGTTACTACTTGCAAAATATTATATCTACTGTTGCGGTATCACAGAAGAGTCTTTGTTATTAAGTGTTTATCTACAGTGGTAAACAAAGCTGAGATAGAAAAACAAATTGCAGTAAGCGTGAATTCACCTCAATATTATTATAATAAATGGAAACCTTTAATTGAGAAGAAGTTTGTTCGCTAGCTATATCTAAATTCAACTAGTAAGGTTATACTCAACATTAGACTCGCATTTTATTGTACTTTTTTAGCAAGACTGTAATAAAATATACTGCAATTTATTGTAAAGTAATTTTATTTTATTATTGTTATTATTATTATTATTATCATTATTATTATTATTATTTTTGTTTGTTTGTTTGTGTACGTGTTGATAGCGATTGAAATAAAAAATTAACAAAAAAAAGTAATGGCTGGGGTCATGCAGCAGCTGCTCGGAAGAGAAGTCACCAACGTTGCGTTTCCCTGACCCCAGACAATACTAAAACAATTGAAAGAATGACATGTCATTGTTTCCTGCGACCAATTAGGAGAGACCTCATGAGCAGCTCCTACTCTACTCGGACCTACACTACTCAATAGCTGACCATCTTATTCCACAGGACACCCATCAACTATCTCCTCGTCAACCTGGCCGCAGCGGACATGTGTTACGTAACATTTGTTACACCAACAATTTTTTTAAGCCACGATGTCGACCATCCAAAGGGAATTTTGTGCGCAGTTGTAACCGGGGAAGGCTTAGCGTGGATTGGAGCGGAGGCCTCACTATTTACAGTGGTTGCCGTTGCCTTTGAAAGATACTTCGCCGTTGTACATCCCTATGGAAACCGGGGAAAGCTAACGTTTCACAAAGTAAAGGTGTGTTTCTTTGAAATAAAATGTTATGCAGGTAGGAATTTGTCTCGTCCGTATGCTGGCACGTGTTAAGGCAAACTGATTAAGAAACAGGTAGACATATCGTGGGCGGATCTGATGGGGAGGGTTGCGGATGGTGTCCTAGTCTCGCCTCTCTATTCTTACTCCCAAATGCGCTTTCCTTATCTCAGAGACGAACTTTGTATCTAAGACATTTTTTCGTCTCGAAAAAAATAACTAATTTTTAGATGTGTGATTCAACTTTTTAAATATTCTTTTGTCTCTTCATTTCAGGTGATTATTCCTGGAATTTGGATCCTCGCAGCAATAAGCAAAATCCCTAGATTCATAAAACGGAGCCGTTTTGCGAAGGAAAATATGTCTAACTACTGCATTTCTTTACTAACTGAGGAAGGCGTAAAGGCCCTCTTTACTGTTTACATATCAATTAATTCTGTTTTGTTTATTTTTCTGGTCTTGTTATACTCCAAGGTGGTGTACACCTTATGGTTCAAGCAGAATGATGATGTACTTACACATTACCAACAGGTATGTGGTAGGACGTAACTAGGTTTAGCCCGGGAAAGTGGGATACTCAACAACGCGGGAGGCCGCCCCCTTCATGTCCGACCCCTTATCCTTTTATATACTATTTTTGACAGAAGAGATGCCCTTTTCGGGCGGAGCCTCTCAGTATAGGTAATTACAGGAAGTAGACAAGACGAAACACTCGGTATTATAGGTCACTTATATTGTACACTTGGGTAACCTGTGGTTTATGTATTTGTTTTGTATACAGGGTGTGATAAGGTTAAGGAAGCGCGCCACCTTAACGGCTGTTACCATCAGTGCCATTCTTGTAATCTCTTGGGGAGCAGAAGGAACATTGCACCTGATTCAAGAATATGCTAGCTCCGTGAAACTGAGTCCTTTAACAACTCCTATCGCGCACATGATAATGATATTTAACTCTGCCGTCAATCCCTTTGCTTACGCTTTGCTGAACCAAAGATTCAGGAAGAAAATGAAGCAAATGGTATGTCCGCGTTCTTTTAGAACAAGGGTTTATTCTGTGTGCGCGCGACAACGTGAACGGCAAGACAGCGAGGTGGCAATCAGCACCGGTGACATCCCTATGACACAGAAACCCAACTGAGTGACAGGTTGAAGACAATTCCCCGGAAAAAAATGTGTCTATAGTAATGTCACCCTACGACAGAACCCTGTGTCGTGTAATCAGGTTTTCGTCTTTTTTTGTTGTTGTTGTTCATTGCATCTTCCTTTCTGTTATCACTAAGTAGGCAAAGAGAATCTATGCCACTCTGGCTTGTTTCGACTGTAAAGATAGTTCTCGTGGCGAAATCGTCCAGCATGATGTCATACTAAGAAGAGGTAATTAACTTTCGGACTTAGCGATCGACCCCGACTGTGACCGAGAGTATCAAAACAGTGAAATAAAATCCGTCAACTTTCACTCTTAAGTGTCAATGCTTAAATATTAAATAAACATTTTGGTGCTTTTAGTCTTCCCCTATGAAAACAAGTTTCCTTTGGTTGAAACATGCTGTTTGAACGGCTTTTACTAAGTTCCGCCCCAAATTAACGCTGCGTTGTTCATTTTATATTTCTTTACTTTGTTTGATGGTTCTAGCTTTTTAAAACTTCTTCCTTATCTCCTGAGTAGAAGAAAAAACGCATGACTACACTGCGGACTATCGTCGGGTAAATATTGGTTATAAAAGTCACGTATGAACTCCTCGGGTTTGAAACCAAATTTCTGATACATCAGCATGGCTGGATTCGTGACTGATGCATGGAGCGTCACGTCTTTACCCAAGCAAGTTTGAATTAAGTGATAAATCATGTAGTTTCCAATCCCCGCTCGACGCCACTCTGGATGGACTAAAACGAATGAGATGTAAGCCTCGTTGTATTTCACATCTGGGACTATAAAGCCAAGACAAGATAAAAACTGCTATCTACAGAGGCTCTATATGATAAACTGAATTGAATAGAAATAATAGTGATAATCAAGTACAAATAAAAGTACCTATAAAATGTTATATAAAAGACTTAATCTTAAAAATCTAAAAATCTAAATCTGATTAAAAATTACACAACCATTATAAAAAAAGGCTTTTTCGTACATTCTAACTTTATAGACGGGAGTCTAAGTTTTCCACTGCTCCTTGTCATTTGTCTTGTTCTTGTACATAACAGAATACTTGACAGATGACCAGTCAAGAATAGACCAAGCTACCTGCGGGTCCGTGAATTTCAGTGAAAAAGGAGAATCAAGATTTTTGTTGTTGTCCCTGTTGTTCCTTCTATTATACCGTAGCCGTTTCGAGCCAATAATTATAAATTTTTGCCGTCTACGCAATAAGAATAATCTAATCTAATCTTACAATTAGATTTCGGTGCCACTCTTTCGCGCACTGTAAACAGGTGTTTATACTGCACCGACATGAAAATCTATCCGGTATATTTAGTGTACACACAGCCTTAAAATCTGACGAGATTAATTAATTGAAGTAGCTGTTCATGGCTGCTATTAATCAATGAAAGGAGGATCTTCCTTGAAAAGCCGTAAGCGCAAAGGGGCTGCTAAATACTATGATCTTCTACCCCTTTACACCGAAAGGAATTATTTGAATTAGATGCCAATGCTGGGGGAAAAAATTCTTCTTCAAATTCAGATAAACGTACTTTTTGAAGGAAAAGGGCTCTTTAAAAGATTAACACTAGTAAACCGTAATTCATTTCCGTCGCTGTACAAAACTGTGAATTAACAAATCAAACAATCGGAAAACAGGATACAAAATTATGGACCATCTGACTATATACGCCAGTCTGTTTTCCTTTAGGTTTTGGTTACCGACATGCTGTGTTACAATATTTAGAAATGGGCGAAAGATAAGCATTTGGTCGCGTACAATTATTGCTTATTTTTACCTCCCGTTCGCTTTACTTTTGGTAATTGTATACAGAGGAAAAAACCCTGTTTGAGCTGAAAAGAAACCCCGGTATAGATTTCTTGTGCGTGATTTGTGAAATTAACGGCTAATGCAATACTCAATAACTAACAAAGCGCTAATCAAAATTGTTTTCACACAGATTACTTGGGTGAAACACGACTTACAGCCTCCAGCCATGACGGAGTCGGCTGATGTCGCATTGATAACAGTAACTTCCATATTAATTATCACCTGCATCGTGGGAAACTTTTTCGTCTGTGCTGTAGTGATGAAAAATCGACAAATGAGGTAAATTTAAAGTAGTAGTTGTTAACCTAAATACCTCATCGTATTTTTGGCATAGGTGCATGATGGATCAGTGAAACGCAGACAACGCAGAAAGTGAGTTATTTGGGCGAGCGAAGCAAGCCGCGAGGGGCCAAGGAAAGGAGAGAGCTCTCCTTTCTCTCAACAGACCCGCGCTTTAGCGTCACC